CAAGCCTTTGGGTTTGGCATGGAATTTTTTTTTTTCTCTCTTACAGACTTAATTATCCTTTTAGTGAAGTCATAATCCTCTATTGAGTTGATACACCAAAATGTACTTACACAGTCCCCCACTGTTTGCCATTAAAATGCTTCTGATTTTCGCTAATCGATAATACTACACAGAGGATTTTATTTGTATAGCTTGTGCATTTGTCAAATGAGTTCCTTGGGGTACATCCTGTGAGTGAGATTGCAGAATCTGACCAGTGCCCAGGGTGCCTGTTGCACTGCTTCTCCTGAGGCTGTTCCAGTTCATGTTTGGTGTTTGATGTGTTTACCACATTGGGTGTAGAGTACTGTTTAAACTTTTGTTTGCTAATTTAGTAGAAGTAAGATGGTACTTCACGTTTGCTTTACTTTGCATTTCCTTGATTATTAGAAGAAATTGGCATTACCCTTGTATTTCCTAGAATGTCAGTGGTCTGCTCATACTTACTATTCTTTGCCTATTTTGGTAAATTGGCATTTGATTTTTTAAAATCAAACCAATTGAGACTTTTACAATAGTTACGAATTTTTCCATATGTTTTCAGTGTTGTGTGTTTGCCTTTTAATTTTAGATATATATTTCTAGTGCCAAATTACAAAATTTAGTTTTGTAATCAAATGTTGTTGTTGTTGTTTCGGTTGCTTCAAAGCTTAGAAAGCTATCCCCCTTCAGGAGAGGTTAAAAAATATTTAATTCTACCTTTTGTGATTTTAAATTCTTTTATTCATCTGGGTTGTGTTTGAGTATAGAGTTGCAAATTACATTTTTTAAATTGCTAATCAGTTATTTCAACCTTTTTGTTTTCTCTTCTCCTCTTTCTCAGGTATCATCCACCAGATGAAAGGCGATTATGATACTGCACTGAAACTCCATAAGACACACTTGTGCATCGCCCAGGAGCTGAGTGATTATGCAGCCCAGGGCCGTGCCTATGGGAATATGGGCAATGCCTACAATGCTCTAGGCATGTATGATCAGGCAGTCAAGTATCACCGGCAAGAACTTCAGATCTCCATGGAAGTGAATGACCGTGCCTCACAGGCCTCCACACACGGGAACCTTGCTGTGGCCTACCAGGCTCTTGGTGCCCATGACCGAGCTCTGCAGCATTACCAAAACCATCTCAACATCGCCCGGGAGCTGCGTGACATCCAGAGCGAAGCCCGTGCCCTCAGCAACCTGGGCAACTTCCACTGCTCTCGGGGGGAGTATGTCCAGGCTGCTCCCTATTATGAACAGTACCTTCGGCTTGCTCCTGACCTTCAGGACATGGAAGGAGAGGGGAAAGTCTGCCACAATCTTGGTTATGCCCATTACTGCCTTGGAAATTACCAGGAGGCAGTAAAGTACTATGAGCAAGATCTGGCACTGGCCAAAGACCTTCATGACAAATTGAGCCAAGCAAAAGCTTACTGCAACTTAGGCCTAGCATTCAAGGCCCTCCTGAATTTTAACAAAGCTGAAGAGTGTCAGAAGTACCTATTGTCCCTGGCCCAGTCCCTGAATAATTCCCAGGCTAAATTTCGAGCCCTTGGGAACCTTGGTGATATATTCATTTGTAAAAAAGATATAAATGGTGCAGTAAAATTCTATGAGCAACAGCTGGGCCTAGCTCACCATGTAAAGGACAGAAGACTGGAGGCCAGTGCATATGCAGCCCTGGGCACTGCATATCGGATGATCCAGAAACATGATAAGGCCTTGGGTTATCACACACAGGAACTGGAGGTATATCAGGAGCTGAGTGACTTGCCCGGAGAGTGCCGAGCTCACGGGCACCTGGCTGCTGTCTACATGGCCCTTGGAAAATACACAATGGCATTCAAGTGTTATGAAGAACAGTTGGATCTAGGGCAGAAACTGAAGGATCCAAGTCTAGAAGCCCAGGTCTATGGCAACATGGGCATCACAAAAATGAACATGAACGTGATGGAAGAAGCCATTGGCTACTTTGAGCAGCAGTTGGCCATGCTGCAGCAGTTAAGTGGAAATGAATCTGTGCTCGACCGGGGCCGGGCCTACGGCAACCTGGGGGATTGTTATGAGGCTCTGGGGGACTATGAGGAGGCTATCAAGTACTATGAACAGTATTTATCTGTTGCCCAGAGTCTGAATCGCATGCAAGACCAAGCCAAGGCTTACCGGGGACTAGGAAATGGACACAGGTAAAAAATACATAGTACAAATGTGGTAGACAAACCTATGCAAAGAGAAGTTGTGACTCTGTAATAGGAACCTAGTGTCCTGTCCTCATGGCAGTTTACTAACTAAAAATCATTTTCTTACATATTTCCTTTGGTTCTTCTGATGATTCTGTGAATATCGTAGGTAATATTTTTTCACTTATGGAGGCAGAAACTAAGCCCAAGATATGTCAAGCTGTAGATCATATGGCTTTAAAAGGACAGCTGAGGGTCAAATCCAGGGCTCTCTGACTCCAAATGCAGTGACTTTTTGACTATATCATAATGAGGAGGATCAAAGGTAATAGGAATGGGGCAGATGAACAAATCCATTTTAACTGATCCTTTCAGAATGCCTCACACACTATTTGAAGGTGTTTATTACTATGATGCCTGCACCTACCAATTACTTAAACCCCACTTTGTTGCTTTTAGGGCAAGCCAGGTCATAATGGTGGGAGTGAACAAACATGTTCATCATCATACTAGGCACCTTACACAGTATCTTGCTTAATTTTTATAGCAGTCCTGTATTACTCTACATTTGCTATCATCTGGTATGGGATGTGGGATTTACTATCATCCAGAAACTGAGGCTTAAGGATAGGAATTTACTTACCTCAACTGGTTTGGTCTGCTGCCAAAATCCATGTTCTTCCCACTTTTATCATGTCATCTCTTCACAGCACAAAAAGGCACACAGTCGGTCCAAGGTGCTTTTCTTCTGAATGTGGGGAACCCAAGAAAGTGCCTGTGTCTGCAGAATATATGGCCCTTCTAGATAGGCAGAGGATTAGGGCTCCTGGAGTGGAGGAATGACAAGGGTCAAACTAAATCATCACCCACAGAGTGCTCTGAGAAGCTCAGGGTGAAGGATTTATAGCCATTGTAAAGTCATTTCAAAAACATAGTCTAAGCAGTAGTGGAAATTGGGAGGCCTGAAGAACCAAACAGTTCACATGCTATCATTGTACCTATTAATATATTTTATGCTTCCTCTGGGGTGTATATCCCATTGAATCTTAAGCTCTTGGGAAGGTCACTAAGGGATGACTTTTGAATTGCTTTCCAGATTATGAAATTCCCCTGTATCTCACTCTAAGGGCACATGATAGATTTTAGCTAGAAGAGGAGTTAAGAGCTTCTATAGTAAATGACAGTGACAAATGTTTTTCATTTTCTCAGGGGCTTTAGCATGTCTGCACCTGCACAAAATAATATCATTGTTTTTCTCTCTACATCCCCACAGGGCAATGGGGAGTTTGCAGCAAGCCCTTGTGTGCTTTGAAAAGAGGCTCGTGGTTGCCCATGAGCTTGGGGAGGCCTTTAATAAAGCCCAGGCCTATGGAGAGCTGGGAAGTCTGCATAGCCAATTAGGGAATTACGAACAAGCCATTTCCTGCCTTGAACGCCAGTTGAACATTGCTAGAGAGATGAAAGACCGAGCCCTGGAGAGCGATGCAGCCTGTGGCCTGGGGGGTGTCTACCAGCAGATGGGGGAATATGACACAGCCCTGCAATACCACCAGCTCGATCTGCAGATTGCGGAGGAGACCAACAACCCCACCTGTCAGGGTCGAGCCTACGGGAACCTAGGCCTGACATACGAATCTCTGGGCACATTTGAGAGGGCAGTAGTCTATCAAGAACAGCACTTGAGCATTGCTGCACAGATGAACGACTTGGTGGCCAAGACGTTATCATATAGTAGCCTTGGAAGGACCCATCATGCCTTGCAGAACTATTCCCAGGCAGTCATGTACTTACAGGAAGGTAAGTGGAAAAAGTCCCTGTAGCCTCTTGGTCTACTCTGAGATTAAGCTCAGAGTCTACTCAGGACAGGGTATGCACAGTTTGAGTGGCCACATCTGCCTAGAAGGAAGATCTCAGAATCCTCATTATAGCTCTTCAGAACAGTAGTCCCTACTACATGTCTCTTGCTGGCTCTGTCGCCTTCCATCTTCAGTCAAAAATGCCTTGCCCAACAATCGAGATGGAAAAAAAAAATGTGCAAAATGATGTAAAAATTAAAAAAAAAAGTACTAATAAAAAAAAAGAATTAGGTCTACACAACTGAGATGGAAAAAGTCACAAAATGATGAAAAAATAAACTATTATATTAGTTAAAAAAAAAAATGCCTTGCCCAGGTTGTTTTATCTGCTAGCCAGCTGCTCATGTTGCTGATGGGAGAAACTCCCCTTGCTTTTCAGAGCCCTTTATTGAATAACTAATTCATTCTCACACATGATGAGTCAAATAAGTAGATCTCTAGGCACATAAAATGAAGAACCTGAATCAGAAAAGATACTCCTTTGTTCCAAGTCCCTGTAAAAAGAGCTTAGCTCTATCAAAACAAAGAGAAAGCCAGTTCTGGTGTAGTGTCTGAGGTCTGGTCCAGAAGCATCAGTCTAAGGGTCACATAGGCAGTTGACAAGACTGCCTTCCCAATACTTGTTACCATAGTGTTTTCTGGTTGGTGCCATGGTTGTCTTGTTCCAGGCAGTCTTGTTCCTAGAAAGTCACTACTTCTCCTTCTTTTTTGCTGTCAGGGTCCATGAGCTCAGTCCCTGGACACATCCTTCCTCACGGGGCACACGGGGGACAGCAATGTTTTACGCTCCACCTCTTAACACTGGGACAGGACTTTCTACCTTTGAAAGCCCCCTCACATGGCCTGGGAGGGTAAAATGGCAGGTGTTATGTTCTTGGTTCTTTGTCTATAGGACTTATTTAGTTGGGTTTAATTCTCACAGTAATCTTGCTTGAAGGGTACATCTCTTGATTCCCATCTTCAACTAAGTGACCTAAGGCTTAGAGAATTACAGTGGCTTGATCCTGACTACGTGGTCAGTCAGTGGGAGAATGGGGCTCAGCCTAGGTTTTCTGATCCTAAGTATCACATGAGATTCTGGATTTTCTAACCTCACAAGAACAGAGCAGAGATGTAACAATCATGTCCCCTTCACTTCTGAAGCCCAACTGGAAGCCAGGAGAAAGGGAGACAGGAAGCAAAATGGAGAAAGGGCTAGAGGCTGATGGTCGACTTTCTTCGTTTGCACAGCTCAGGATTGCTCTAGACTGCAAGAGAGAGACTGAAGGCCACTGCCCTGGCCTTATTGGGCCCCTGCTCATTGGAAACTCTGCCCTAGTGCATTAAATATGAGAGCGGGCTCTTTGTTTCCTCAAACTTGACTGTGGTAAAATTCTAACAGATTCTGGGTGGTTTTAGTTAATTTGTGAAACTATTAAATTCCATGAAGCAGCTGCTTTGCCTGAGACATTGTAACATAATTCTTTATTAATGGGAAACTTAATTTCATTTTATCTTGTAGTTTTAAGTCTTGGAGACATCTAAAATCTTACTGTGTCATCGCCACAATGTTTGTTTCATGTTTGTGTCCCACCAGAGCTCCTAGCTTGCCTTGTGGGCCAAATCAGATGCCCCCTGTCCTGCACACTGAGTGGGGAAAAGTGCAGGACCCCTGGGAGGCTCTTTCTAAAAGCTCTAAGTTGGCTTTTTTACAATGAGTGGGAAATCAGCTTGCTGCTCATTCTACTGACTTTTAGAGGGACCTAGTATAATAGGACCTCACAAGGGGCCTGATCTGAGTCTTTTTAACAAGTTCTCCCAGTGATTTGTATTGGCAACCTAGAGCAATACACGACTGGTTTTGAGTTATGTGACCAGTTCCTGGCATGCCAGGCTTCAGGAAGGCTGGATTGGGTGTGTCTTGTTCCTAAGAGGCACAGACAGTCTGGCAAGACTGATAATGAGTCTGCCCAATGGGCTTTTAGCTCTTTGTTCCCACAGGCCAGTGAGCACCCTACATGTTGTGGGTCCAGCAGGAAATAAAACAAAGTCCCTGGTCCCACAGACGATACCTTCTAAGGGGGGCTTATCTCAACTAACTTTACCTCTAACTCATAGATCCAGACCAAACAGGGATAGATATATTGAAGACTGACTGCAGTTAGCTTGCTAGTATCAACCAAAAACCCTTCCCTCACTTGTTTCTCTTATATGAAGTATTTTAAAATATTAATAACTTGCAACTATTATTTTTGTAACCCAGTGACATGATTTAAGCTTAAAATGCTACTTCTGACTTTTCTGTATTATGTACATTTTGAGAGGCATAGTGTTTTATGAGCTTGAACCTGAGAATCGATTTTATTAGTCTCTTATTTGACTCAGTTCCTTTTCAAAAGTGTGAAATTGCATGGGCACAGCATGCTAAGAGGCAGGCTTCCATCCACCTTGAATTAGATTAAGAAAAATTAGACCATCCTTTGTATGCACAGTTGTGGTGTAGGAGTCTTCATTCACGCTGTTTTCTACACAAGCTGCTCCTATATACAGAGAGCTAGATAATGAAAGCATAGTGATGCAGAGAACTACTTACTGGCCAATACAGTAAGTGATTGCCCTCATACTTGGCTGCCACAAAACCCTGGAGGTTGCTGGTGCCCCGAAATCCAGAAGCTTGCTGTGGGTAAGTGACCCAAACTGCAGGTGCCTATCTGAAGGCATTAGAATGAAGAGAGTCTCATTTAAGACTTTCGACTCATAATAGCACTTCTTTGGCAACCCCACTGAGGTACATCAAAGTCTCAGCCTTAAAGAAAACACAGATTGGGAGTGAAATGTGTCAGCGGCATCAGTATCAGCAGGCAATGGTGGGCAGTGTGAACATCCTCCTGTCAGGAGAGCAACATATATGTCTCCCATTAATGCAGATAGAATGCTGTGCATGTGAGATCAGAAAGAGTATTAGCTTGGCTTCTGTGCTGGACCATATAGCCATTAGGAAAAGCTTTTGCTAGCCGAAGAATTGGGTTAGATAAATTTATAGTCCAGTTTTTTCATTTGCAAAGCTAGGGATTTCACCTTTGGGAGGACAGCCAGGTTAGGTTTCATTTGTCTCAGTGTTTCTGTCTGCCCTGAAAACCTGTCTCCTGATACTCATCACCTGAACTCTTGCTGGGGCAGCTTGGAGTGTCTTAAAAGGTCACTACCAACATAGAATTTGAAGAGGATGCTTATTCTGCCTTGGCTGATTCTACTCTTGCCCTTCATTTTATCTAACTGTGCTAACATTCTATTTATATACCTGAAGCTGAATTAACCTCTAGAACTCTATGTGTTCTGAAAATTCTGTGTTCTTAAAATTTCTCTGATTTCAGGTTTAAGGTTAGCTGAACAACTGGGACGAAGAGAAGATGAAGCCAAAATACGCCATGGTCTTGGCCTTTCTCTTTGGGCTAGTGGGAATCTGGAGGAGGCCCAACACCAGGTGAGCAGAAGATCCCTGTCCCAAGTAGATTTTGTTTCCAGAAGCATGTTGTCTTCCATTACCTAGTAGTGATGTCATTTACAAAAGACAGCAGCTTTTACCTTTGGATTGATACACATGTCAACTTGTCTCAGCCAGCAAGTGTTGACCCATAGTAAAGATTCTTGCTCTCTTAAATGTTAGATTCCTTAATAATTTCTTTAGAATTCTTTGTTATGTACTATGTTCCTCACTAAGCCTTAATATGAGTGTATATATACTTTGTCATAGACTGAATTTAATGATTGAGTTCATATCTGAATTTAACATCTTTGTAGGTGTCTAGATGTATCAGGAAGTCCCTCTCCTCCATGCCACACACTTCACCTGTTTACTGCACATAGTTGCAGAGAAGTCCCTGTTGTGCTGGCTGTGGAGATCGGAGAGTTCCTAGAGTTATGGCTTCCTCCCTTTGGTTGGAGGAGCTGTGAGTTGCCTTTTCAAATCACAGCCTCAAGTGTGTAGGCCACACGAAGTAGGTCACGTGGAGGGCTTTGTGTGAAGCAGCGGGGCCATGAGCAGGGCAGAGCTACTACCGGGTGCTCACAGGAATTGAGGGCGCAGCAGGACTGAATTTGTGCCGTAGTTTCCTGGAATGTTGTGGTTTTACACTTTTTAAACTATTAAAGGTGGGATTGGAGCATGCCTGCGGCAAATTATAGACACTTGATAAGAAGAGAGGGGTTTTGTTTTAATCAAAATCAGCACTGCTTTAATTGTGATTTGCGGCTTATTTGTTTTCTAATTTTCAGACTATAACCCTGATTTACAAAATTAACTCTCTAATGTCCTGAGTTTAAAAATTAAAATTTGTGACACAGAATTTACAATTTCCTAAGTATTTTTACTCACTGAATTTATTCCTCAAATAATCCTGTGAGGTAGAATATTAGCCTTCCCCTTTATAGAGGAGATAGTGAGACTGTAGCTTGCCATTCATTAAATCAGTGCAGAGTTGAGAATACATCCTTCTCTCCCAGTTTCTCAGTCTTAGAATTCTATTTTTAAAATGTAAGTGAACTTAAAATTGTTAATGTATTTTCATAATTTATGTATCAGGGGAAAAAGTCTGGACTCACTGATGGAGAAACCATGGCAGCAGGGAACTGTGTCTCTGTAGGAATGTCCAGTGGCTAGATCTGAGGATGTGCAATAACAGGGTGTGACTTCTAAAGAGCTGGTCCAGTGAAGATCTGACCCTGGCACATTGCTGTGGAGAGCAATGTTTAATTGCCCGCTGTGGCACTGAAGTACCTTCAAAAAGCTATGCTTCTGTGAGAGTGACTGCCTTTGTCTCATTTCTCCCCCGCCTTGTCTTTTCCCAATCTCCCTTCACTACTATGTTTTTTTTTTTAATTTAAAATTTGTGTGATTTTAAAAATTAAAATCTTACTCCTATCCTCCCATACCATGAAACACAGAGGGTGGTGATTAGAGGCTTTTGCTTATTTTAATAAAAAATAAGCTCTTGGTTGAATTAATATTTGATTTTTTTACTATTTCACATTTTATAAACTCATGACCCCTGTGTTTTAGATCAAGAAATGCTTACATAAACTATAACTTATTGGGATTGTCTCATGCCTTTACATGTCCACAGAGACCTACCTGGAAATAAAGATTCAATCTTTAAAAAAGTTTTTAGCAAGGGGATTGAAACTGAGATGGAAAAATGAGCAAAATGATGTAAAAATAAGCTACTATATATATTTAAAAAAAGTTTTTAGGTTGTGAACTAAGATGTGAGCAAATTTGTCTCTGGTCAGGAAAGAGCTGGGTAGTGATTTTGGGGAAACAAATAAACAATCTTTCTCCTTTACTTGCAGCTCTACAGAGCATCAGCCTTGTTTGAAACGATCCGACATGAGGCGCAACTAAGCACAGACTACAAACTCTCCCTCTTTGACCTACAGACATCATCCTATCAGGCCTTGCAGCGGGTACTTGTCAGTCTAGGTGAGGAAAGCTGGGTGTGTGTTCCCACGTGTCTAAGTTCTTTAGCCATCACTGATGAAATATATTCAGCTGCTAACCGTTTCATTATTCAGCTAATACTTGTACAATACCTGGTATGTGGCAAATGCAGCCTTAGGTATTAACAAGCAGGCCTGTTTCTCGACCTCAAGAAGCCCTTGGTCTGTCAAGAGACAGAAATCTATGCCTAGAGTCCTGGCATTATTGGCACTAGGGTAGAAGAATCCCAAATGCCATGGAAACAAAGCAGCTTGGCAGGCTGACCCAGGAACCAGAGAAGCTGCCCTGGAAGTAGGAATGCTTAAACCAAGTGTTTCCCAAGGTCACCTTTCACTATTAATACGGATGGAAGGGGAGAAAGGAGAGAAAACCTGAGAAGATCCCTGGGCCCTTCCTGATTTTCTCTGCCACGTATCTTTTGATTTTGCTATAAGTAAATGTTCTGTAAATGTTACCAACTCTCTGGGTCTAACATCTAGACTGTGACATTGTCAGCGCCATTCTTCCAGGCCAGAGTGCATTTCTCCTCACTTAGGCCTCAGCTGTTCCAACTCCCCGTCCTTTGCCACTTCTCAGGCCTGTCTATCTCCCCAGACCACACTCCCCAACAGAACTTTGTTTGAGGAGCTATTCATTGGAGCTAACAATGTCTTTGAAGTTGAGTGTCGAGGCCTTTTTAATAACCCGTCCTTTGCTATTTGTGTATGAATGCTCAAACTTCCCCTTGAAAAAATGTACCATAAATGTGTTCATTGCCAGGGATTACAATTTATTATCTATTATAATTACAGTGTTAAGTCTGTCTAGCACTTTGGGGCCGATATTCCAGTATACACAAAAATCATCCCTGCTGTTCCAGTTAATAACTTAATAGAGTAAAAGAAGACATTTGCATATACACACATAAATCCCCACTTTGTACTGATACTCAAACCACAGGAAGAAAAACATCCTTGAAATGCTGTTGGAGCTGCAACATCTGGTCGTCTGCCTCTGTCTCTTTGGACCCTAGCTCTAGCAACTCTTCAGTATTTATGCTTTCTGATGCAAGAAAATCTTCTGTATTATACTCTTTCAGCATTTCTGCATAATCCTTTTTGAAAGCATTTTGCTTTGTACTTTTTGTGCCTTTATATTTGCTTATTAGCTTTCAGGCCAGATGACAAACTAGTTTTTTTTAGCAAAAAGGGGATTAGAAATTATACTCAAAAGTGGAAAACTTTAAAAAAAAAAAAAAAAAAGATCATTTTCTAAAAGCTAGAGACCTAGTGGTTTAAATCCTTGATGCAGGGGCCCTAGAAGAGAGAGAAGACGAGGACATCTGTGGGAACCCAGAATTGAAGGAGACATGCCCTCTGACAATAATAGGACCGCCAGTTAATACGTGTGGAGGTTAGAGAGTGCCTGCCAGTTGCAGTGCTCAGTTAATCAGTTAAGCAGCTGATACCTGCTTTCAGAAAAACCTGTTACTAGTATCCTTTTCTTATTTGAGGTAAAGTCTAATGATGACAAAAGACAATCCCAGCAGAGGAACCAGCATATGTAAGACATAGGAGTATAATTGGGGGGAAATGTAGCCATGGGATTGGACAATGTGATCCATGGTGGTGCTGCATCAAGGAAAAATACAAAGATGACCAGGAACCATGCCCTGAAGTACTCATCTGCCAATGCCAAGTCAGAATCAGAGATGAGCTGGGAAGTGATTAGCTAGAGCTGAGTGAAGGAAAGCAGAAGCCAAGAGAATGGGGGAGCCACTTAGGGTGTGGAGCAGAAAATGGACAGGGTTGAGGGTGAATGCGCTCTTGTGGTATGGCTGCAAGACTGGGGAAGGGGAAGGTCTAATGGCTTAAGGTAGCATGAAATCTACAAATGTGGGGTTTATAACATGGAAACCACCTATCACCTGAAGCAAGAGATTAAATTTGAAACTGTGACTAAACCTCTGCAGCACATCTGAGTACAGTCAGGGGGGTTTCTGCCAAGGATCTCTGTGCCTGACACCCTCTCTGAGTAAGCACACTTTTCATGGACTCCTCTGTTTATCTCTGTGTTTTCTAGGTCATCATGATGAAGCGCTGGCTGTGGCAGAAAGAGGACGGACAAGGGCTTTTGCTGACCTTCTGGTAGAACGACAGACAGGACAACAGGACTCTGACCCATACTCCCCAGTCACCATAGATCAGATCTTAGAGATGGTTAATGGCCAAAGAGGACTAATACTTTACTATTCCCTGGCCGCAGGCTACCTATACAGCTGGCTGCTTGCTCCTGGGGCAGGTAAGATCTTTTTCCATGGAAAGAGTGAAATTAAGACGTTAGACTGACTGTAAGTGGAAGAGGTGCATTACCATAGCCCAGACTAAGGAGCTGATACCTGCTTTCAGCAAAACCTCAGCCACAGCAGTCTCCGATGGTAGGGCACATGATTAATAAGACAGCCCCGCTTTCTTATTCCCCCCCAGAATTTCTGCTCCACACTGGTAAATGTGAAAACATGTATCAAGGAAGACTAAGGACAGGAGGATTAATTTCCCTAGCAGCCCTATTTTAGGAAACTGTTGTTCATTAACTAATAAAGCGATGACTGCAAGTCCTAATGAATTCTTTCCAGATAAGATTTAATAATTGTGACTCTTAGTCATGATAAAGCTAAGGAGATGAAAATGATAATGGCAACTCTATCACTGTATATAAATGAAGTGGTAAGCTTGAAATTTCTGAGTTTAGTAGAGCCTTTTTTTTTTTTTTTAACAAATTCTGTTGTAAATCTATCTCAGAAATAAAAGAAAAAAAATCCCTTTGATTAAATTGGCATTAACTCTTCAGGCTGTAACAGTTTCACTAAATACAGAACCACTAATTAGCTGTTAGGGCCATATTTTTTGCATAATAAAATGCTGATGGCTTTACCATGTTGGAGATACACCAGATCCAATTAGAGTTTATTGACTGAGGAAGTGAATTTTATAATTGGGAATCCTAAAGATTGGGTTTCTTGAATATTTGTAAACCATTTTCAGAGTTCCACTTCCAGGGTGGACTGACAGAATTTTTTTGATTATCTCTCTATTCCTTTGATTTCTAAAAGGTGTCAGCTAGATGACACCTTCTGATGCTTATTGGACTCAGAGCACCTGTGCCTGTGCATTCTGTGCCTTAGCATTATTTTTTTAGAATCTTTCCCCCTTAATTTCATGTATTTATGGCCTTTCCACAAAGAAGATTCTTACCGGTGACCTTTTTATAGTAAAGATTGTAAGTGGTGATGTTCATGGTGACTTGGTGAATGTCAGCCACAGTGGCCTCCCCATGCTCTTCAGTTCCCAGAGGGGCACTTACACCAGTGAGGACAGGGCTGGTAACAGAGCTATCAAACTCCCCTCTGTGGCTGCTAGGTTTTGGGGACATGATTTGACAGGAGGTATATCCAAATCCTTGTAATAATGAGCCACGTATAATGAGGCTCCTATTGTTTCTTTCCATTCCTCTTTGCTGTTAATGAAACTCTGAAGCTTTCACTGGGGCTTTATTCCAATCAGGGAGAACCAGTATCTTCTGAAGCCAACACACCTCATTACCATTTGAGGATATGTCCTGTGCTTATTGCCAGAGAATGACTGTGGATTGCCTATCTCACGCAGCCATCATTTTTTGCTCCTTTAATCCATTAATGACCATTGATCAGTATACCTTATTTAAAAATGGTTTAAGATGATTTGATCTGGTCTGTACACTATTTATTTTTACATGCTTTTGTGAAATGATAGGTCTTTGAGTAACACATTTCCTTATGACTAGTTACTTTTTTGTCAGAGATTTCAGTTTCTGGGGAGAGTATAGCTGGGCATGCTCACATGCTATTTCTGAAAAGAGACTTTTTCCTATAGCTGATGCTTCTCACAAATCCATATGAAGTAGTCATCATTCAAGGGGACTTTAAATATGTTGTCAAAAGTGAAAACTCTATCTTCAACTCCCTGATTTCAAGCAAGCAACAGACTGATGGAAGACCTGGAGACAGGTTACTGACTAAGTCTGAAGCCCTCTTGAGACCTGGAGTTTAAGAAACTCTTCACATAGTTCAGAGGGCCTTTGCTAGTCAAAGAGGTCACATAGCATCAACATTCCTAGCTGTGTCTGCCCTCCACCCCCCTCCCCTCAATCCCATGTAACATTGTACCTGTGTTGTTTCAGGAATTCTGAAGTTTCATGAACACTACCTAGGTGATAACACAGCAGAAAACTCCAGCGACTTCCAGGCTGGCAGCAGCACCGCCCTTCCAACAGCCACCTATTCAGCCCTCGAGCAGCACATCTCCAGCGCACGGGAGGCCCTGGGGGTGGAGTCCTACTACTCCAGGCAAGTGGTGCAGTGTCTCCAAGCCCATCTACAGAGACAAGCGCAGGGTGGTTGTTGCTTTCTCTCTTCCTTTTCTTTTATAAATGTCCTATTTGGGCTAGTGGAAGAAATCTTTCGGTAGTTACACTTCGGTAGTCTACTCATAGTTGCTGCTGCAGAAACAGATGTGTGTCCCTGGAGTGCTTCACTCTTATTGGGCAGTCTTTATTCTTTTCTATAGTTTTCCTGTCAAGCAGGGAAGGCTCTCATCAGAGATGCCCATTTTCTAAGGAAGGCTTTTGAAAGTTTAAACATAACATGTCTTTGAGTTTAACATACAGCGATTTAAAACTGAGATTTTTTGGGGGGTGGGGGGGTTATAAACAGATTCATAATAAGCTTTCTTATCTGTAGCTGAATGCTTACCTGGGAAAGGAATTTAGCACCAAGAACAGCATCTATGCACAGATGTGTGTGTGTGTGTGTGTGTGTTGGGGACTTCAGGTGAAGGAAGTTGAATTCCCAGAATCAAGAATAGAGAAGTTCTTTTTGCAGAGGTTGGCAAAAGTTATATATTTATGGAAACATTTGATCAGAATTGGTTATTTTACATGTGGAAAATAGTTCCTACAAGCACCCTGCTTCTGAGCAAAGTCAAAGAAGAGGATGACTTGGAGTTGGGATATGACCAAATGTTCCAGGTGTCCCAGTTGTTCACCCAGTGTCAAGAAGATCTGTGTGTCAAAGCATCTGCTGTATTAGCTGGTGTCAGGAGTCAACAATAGCTGCTTGTCTCTTGAACAATTTCATTTGTAAACATGAAAATCCTGAGATACTCCTGTGATTTTTGTAGATTAAACCAGGTGCTCCAGGTGTGTGGTGATCATTGCCAGGAGATGGGTTAGTTTTTAGGGTGCTTATGAAGTCAGGGACAAGTTCTTAGATGAAAATTAATCATTGTATGGTGAAATGTCAAGGCTGGAAGGGGCTTTCATGATCATGTTGTCCAGATCCTTTCTTAACAGAAGCCAGCACTGAGTGGGGCTTGCTGACAGCCAAGTTGGTGCCAGAATCAGGAGTAAGACAATCTAGATCTCACCCAGACTCCCAGATCAGTGCTTGTTCTGTTTTTAATTATCAAAATTAATATCATGTTTTGAGAAAATAGCCAAAGCATGTAAGGATGTCATCTCTGGCTTTTGCTTGTGTGAAGTGTGAACACGCGTCAGCCTCAAGCACATACTGTTGTTTTCCCCATGATAGCTGTGTGTCTTGGAGCATCCTGTCCTTAACCCTGCATACTGAGGTGGCAATTACAAGGAGCTGACAGTGTAGTAACCCCAAGACCTTGGAAGTAAGGCTCTTCTCTTGGGAATTAAATTATAAATGACCATAAAGTAGGTTAGGTCAGGAACATACAAAGCTGCTATAGCAGAAAGAAAAGCACTTAAGCCAGTCTAATTATATCGTAGCCTGAGCAAGGGTATTGCATTTTTAAAGCAAGTGTTGAGGGGGATGGTTCCCTGGAACAGGAAAAAAGGCAAACAGTAACCTATGTTCTCGGAGTCAGTTAGTTCACTCAAGCGTTTAGTAAGCACCTATTGTGTTTCAGGGCTACCCCACGTTACCTTCACTGATAATGAAGTTTCTCAAAGGCCTGATCCTGTCTGATAACCCTTTATGGTCTTTTTGAATCTCACTCTACTTCTTTCAGGATCACCCAGAACCCTGTATGTCCAAATCAGGTTTTTTCTCCTCTCTGTGGCATCCAGTAATAGTACTTACTTCATTTTTCCTTAATTCCCTGGTTTTCTGTCTTCCTAAGTAGGTGGTGATGCAATAGGCAGCAAGTGCTGTGTCCTTCTCTGTTACGTCTCCCTGTTTAGCACAGTGCTCAGAGCGAGCTATGTGAATACTTGTATTTTATTTTTTAAAATGATATAATAGTTTATTTTTACATCATTTTGTGCATTTTTCCATCTCAGTGGTAGTCCTCTTGGGCTTCCCATCACCAAATCACCCGTGTGCCATCACCACAGTCCAGAGCATTTCCCTCCCACCACTGTTTTTTGATCCCCTTCCCCACTCCACCCCATAAAATGTCTCTGGTATATAGGTGTTCATTATTGTTATTTTCTCTCCTGGTCTGTTATACTCCTGCTATGAGTGAAACCACCCAGTATTTTTCCTTTTCTTTCTGACTTATTTCACTAAGCATGATCTTTTCCACCTCCATCCATGTTGCTGCAAAAGGCATGTGTTTATTTTTTTGGTTGCTGAGAAATAGTCCATTGTGTATATATGTACCACATCTTTTTAATCCAGTCATCAACTTTTGGGCATTTGGGTTGATTCCATGTCTTTACAATTGTACATAAAGCAGCAGTAAACATGGGAGTGCAGGTATCTTTTTGAATCAGTGTTTTTGTATCTTTTGGGTAGATTCCAAGGAGTGGGATTGCCAGGTCATATGGAAGCTCCATGTTTAGCAGTTTGAAGAACCTCTAAACAGTTTTCCATAGTGGTTGTACTAGTTTGCATTCCCACCAACAGTGCAGGAGAGTTCCTTTTTCTCCACATCCTTGCCAACGTTTGCTGTTGCTAGTTGTTTTAAGATGTGTTATTCTCACTGGTGTGAGGTGGTATCTCATTGTGGTTTTAATTTGTATCTCCTTTATTACAAGTGATGTTGAACATTTTTTCATGCTTGTTGGCCATCTGCATTTCCTCTTTGGAAGTGTCTTTTTAGCTCTTCTGCCCATTTTTTGATGGGGTTGTTTACTTTATTTTTGTTGAGTTTCATCAGTTCTATGTATATCTTTGTGATCAATCCTTTATCGCTAGTTTTGTGTGAGAAAATTTTCTCCCACTCAGTGTAATGTCTGTCTGTTTTTCGTAATATTTCTTTTGCTGTACGGAAGCTCTTTAAATTAATGTAGTCCCATCTACTTATCCTTGCCTTCACTATCATTGCATTGGGTGCTGTATCTTCAAAGATGTTACTGAAGTGTATGTCGTGTAGTTTCACCCATCTTTACTTCCAGGTATTTTATAGTTTTTGTTCTTATGTCTAGGACTTTAATCCACTTTGAGTTGATTTTTGTGTATGGTGTGAGGTAGTGATCTAGCTTCATTTTTTTGCATGTAGCTTCCCAGTTTTCCCAGCACCATTTGCTGAACAAACTTTCTTTGTTCCACTCTATCTCTTTTACTCCTTTGTCAAAGATTAGCTGCCCATCAACCTGTGGGTTTGTATCTGGGTTTTCTATTCAAATCCACTGGTCTATATGTCTGTTCTTGTTCCAGTATCATGCAGTTTTGATTATTATGGCTTTGTAGTAGAGCTTGAAGTTTGGGATTGTAATGCCTCCATACTCTTTCTTCTTAGTCATGAGAGTTTTGTCTATTTGAGGTCTTTTGTTGTTCTATATGAATCTCATCAATATTTTTTCTATTTCTTTGAAGAATGTCATTGAGACTTTTATTGGGATAGTGTTAAATCTGTGTATCACTTTTGGTAGGATGGCCATTTTGATGATATGAATTCGCCCAATCCATGAGCAGGGGATGTATTCCATTTCTTGGTGTCTTCTTGTATTTCTTTTAACAGTGTTTTGTAATTTTCTTAGTATAGGTCTTTTACCTCTTTTGTTAGGTTGAATCTCAGGTATTTGATTCTTTTTGTTTTAATTGAAAAGGGGATTTTTTTTTTTAATTTTATTTCTGCTTCTTCTGATTGGTTGTTTGTGTACAGGAAGGCCTCTGACTTTTGTGTGTTGATTTTATACCCTGCTACCTTGCTAAACTGATTGATGGCTTTGATTAATTTCTCTGTGGAGTGAACATTTGAAATTTAGTCACCAGAAGACAAGTTGTGGGCAGACTTGCTGTTCATGCAAGGCTGGCTTACTGATTGTGTTTCTATAGTACATGTAATCTACACTGTACCCCTAGAAATTGAGTCTCTGTACCTTGAGGAACACCTTCATTCAATTATCCACATCCTGCCCATGGTGCCCTTGTTATTCCACAGACCATTTTCACTCTCCTTAGTGGCATTTTGGTGCTAAACGGAAGTACAATGCTACAAAGGACTTTCTGAAAATGGGTTTGAAAGAAAAGAACTGTTTTTATTAAATGTTTAATAAGAACTTCCAGTCCCTTCCTCTCATATCAAAAGAGGCATTGATTGAAACCACTGTATGGAACATGAACCTCCCATAAGGGAGATGTTATAAATTTCAAAACACATCTTCAGTTTCTAATTCTGATGTTTAGATAAAGTTTTGCTGCTTCGTGGGCATCTGAGACATGCAGTGGCACTTTAGGGATCACGCTGACTGGTTCAACACTGACAGGGCTGTGTTCAGTGTAGGTCATCTCTGGAAGGGGCTTTAAATAGTGATTGTAGATTAACCTGATATGGTTAATAATTTCTTCCTTGTAAATGAATATTGAACCTTGACAAACTTTTTTCCTTTTGATGCTTTTCTATATTTCTAAATTTTCTGCAGTGTATAAGTTATTTTTATAATCAAATACATTTTTTAATTTCAAAACATAGATTGTACCAATTCACAAATGACAAGGTACCATTTGGTTCTAGTATGATAATAATGGCAAATGTTAATAAATCTGATAATGCCAAGTATTGGAAGAGATGAGGGGCCACAGAATATAAGTGGCTGGTAAGAGAAACTGCCATAATCACATTAGAAGACAATTGGACATTACCTTCTAAGGCCAAATATCTGCACACCACTTGACCCAGGTGCATGCCTTTGGTTTAATACCCAAGAGAGGCTCTCAAAGATGAATAAGAATCTTCAGAGCTATAATGTAAACAGTAGCAAAATCTGGAATACCCACATGCAATCAGAGAGAGGGTGAAGGCATAGTGGTGGTATAGTCACAAAATGGAATGTTAGGCAGCAGTTAAAAAAGAATTGAGCAATAATCAACACACATATGCAGCTAAATATAATATTAAGTGAAAAAAGTAGTCCTCAGCATATCCTGTT